CACACACACACACACACACACACACACACACACACACACACTGCGGCTCACCCCCGGGACCAGGCCGACAGAGCCGCGCTTCAGCAGCCTCCTGAACTCCCGGTGGTTGGCGGGGCGCGCGCCGATCCAGGTGAACACGTGGCGCCACAGAGGGATGGACAAGACGCTGTCAGCGGCGATGGAGTACACCTTGTGGCCCTAGGATCGAGGGTTCAGGTTCAGGGTTTAGGGGGCTGCAGGATCAGGGTCTTTCTTGTTGTGCAGTTGGTTGCATCATATTTGAGGCCGCCCCAGGGCGGCGCACCGCCCCGGCGCGGCGCAAGCGCGACAAACAGGCGGATTGACAGGTCAGCAACGAGCGCGCCGGCCAGGCATGCGCCAACCCGGGGGACGGGGTGACCGTCAGTTGGCGCCCCACCTGCCACGCGTCGGCGCCGAGTGATGTGGCGATGATCTGGCTGAGGGGGAACACCGAGTGGGGCATCTGCAGGGGCGGGTTTGAGCGGTGGGGATTGGGCGGCTGCTAGGTTGAGATCGCGATTGCGAGCATGAGAAGATAGAGGGCGCAGCAGCTCTGCATCGGTGCAAGTGGCGTGCAGCGGCAGAGCCTGGCGCGGCCTCGGGGGCTCAGGGGCAGCGGCGTCGGCTGCCGCGGCCGGGCGCGGCACGGGGCGGCGGTTGGTCAGCTGTGTGTTGAGCCGGCAGGCGTGAATACATACCGATACATACCAAGGCACGGCTGCCGCACACACAAAATCATGGCAGCCGGCACGTGCTGTATGCACAACCCCGCACCTCGGCATACACATAATTCTTGGACAGGTCGATGGGCACATCATACGCCACAGAGTACCTTGGACGCACGACAAGGGTACGGCGGCGCGCGTGCGTGCGCGCGCATGGACGGAGGGGCAGGAAAACTGTTCAAAGTTCTTGCAGTGGTGAGTAACACAGCCAGTTAAGAGGCCTGAACTGGCTGTGTCGGTGATTGCACGCCCCTACAAGGGTCTAGTGTTGGGGTCCGAGCAGCGGCCCACGCAGGCAGCATGCCCCGCGCAGCAGGAGTGAGCGGCCGCCGCACGGGCGGGTAGAAGAAGTAAGACAGGGCGGCCGCACGAGTATGTAGGGGGGAAGGGCATCAGGTCGCAGAAGCCCACCTGAAGTAGCGGCGCCAGCTTTTGAAGACAGGGTTGCCGAGGAACCTCTCCCACAGCAGCGGCTCTGCCGGCAGTAGCACCGTGCCCCAGATGCCTGGACGGCCACAGCAGGGCAGGCGGGAGGGGGCGAGTGTGCTTTGCGGGTGGTGCTGCAGAGCTCTGACTGTCGGGTTCCAACTCGGGTTTCTTTGCTGGGGGTCGGTTTGAACTCCACCCCCAGCCAACAAAATGTACGGCTCGTTGGGTGCACATTGGCTCCTTCTAGTGCCAGCACAGAGCGGACGCCGCACTGCAACGCGCGCCCAATGCTGTCACGTCGAGCCTGGCAAACAGCTTCATACCGCTGCCGCCGCTGCTGCGGCAGCATAGGTGGCGGCCGGGCTGCGTCACCGTGCGATGTACGTGCTGCAATCTGAATTCCCACTAGCTGCAGGCCCATCAGCTGCTTGCGCGTCCCCACCTGCCGCTGCGAGCAGGGCCCAGCGGTTGAAGAACCCCCAGATCACGATCACCGCCAGGATGTGGATCCACATCGTGAAGATCTGGGGGCAAGCGGAAGACGGGCAGGCGCGCGTCAAGCCTGATCCCGCCCGGCGAGGGGGGGGGGGGGATTCCATCCCCCAGGGCGCTGGACCCTGCCAGAGCGGTCGCAAAGCGGCCTGCCGCGTGCGCCGAAAGTAGCACCAGAGGCAAACTCTGCCTGCCATTGCGCACGCTCGTGCGCGCGTGCAAGTGGCCGGCCGGCCTCGCGGCGGCTAGCGGCGCCGGCCCGCGAGGACCTTTCAGGACCCACACCACCCCTACTTGAGACGAAGCGTGCCTTGAGGGCGTGCCTGCCCTCGGCCGGGGTGATCGCAGGCGCCCCGCTTACCCCACATGGCTTGCGCCCCCTTGGCTGGGCCCGCTTGACTCATCTGCTGTATCACCATTTTGAAAATGCAACAGTGCCAGGGGGCGGGGCTCACCGCCAGGGTCACCAGCGCAAACGTCTCGTCCCACCAAGGCTGCCGGCTCTCCTCCGTCAGGCCGTCGCACCACACGCGCTCGCCCGAGGGAGACTCCGTGATCTGGCGGGGGTGCAGCGGTTCGAGCTCGAGTTTGAATTCGGAGGGGAGGCGCTCGCGCGTTGTGCCGGCGGACCTCCCGCCCGGCAGGGTGTGCAGGTGCAAGTAGATGAGAAGTGGCTAGATGGCTGGCGCGCCGCCCGCTTGTCAATCGCCAGGGTTGCCAAGGCCGCAGCGAGCGCCACAGCTGGAAGTCAGGTGCAAGCGTCATCGCACAGCCAGGCGGCTCGCGAGACGCGGCGGCAGGCAGGGGGGCCAGGGGCGAGGAGCGCTGTGTAGAAACACCACCGCCGGTGGCCGGCGGCCGGCGGCACGCGCGCCGCAACGAATGAGCCACGTGTAGACGCACCCTGCCCTTCAGGACGGCCGCGGCCTTCCCTCCCACGGTTGACCGCTTTGACTGGTCCCGCAGATCTGACGCATCCTCATCTGGCTCCCTGTCGCCGCCCGCATCGCCCTCCCCCTCGCCGCACGCCGCCGCAGCGGCCGCGGCGGCCGCAGGGGCGGGTGCAGTCAAGCGGCCGGCTGGCGGGCCCGCAGCCGTGGGCGCGGCGGCGTCGGCGCTGCCGGCTTGGGGCCCGGTTTGGTCGTCTGGGTCGGAATTGTTGTCGGAGGCGAGGGGGTCTGAGCAGCCAGATGAGGCGACGCCGTCGCTCTGGTATGGAGGGGTCGCCTGAGGACGCGGGGAGAAGGGACCCAGGAGCAACCCATGATGCCGGAAGAGGGGCGTCAGCAGGCGGTTGTTTTTTGGGGTAAAGAGGGAGGACTGTGCAGCGCAGCGACACTCCTGCAGGTGCTAGAAGTGTGGCGTGAACGGGCAGGCGCTGTGGCCTGGTGCTGTGATGTGTGAGGCGGTGCCCAACGGGTGGCGCCAGGCGCTAAGGCAGGGCGCTTAGGGAAAGGCGCCGCCAAACGCGCTGCTAGGCAGGGCAGATGCGAGTCTGTGCTCATGCTTGGTTGCGATGGTAGCGCCACGTGCATGCACACTGCCTTCTAAGTCCCTGGTGCAGCCTGCGGTGTGCTGCTGCGTGACAGGTCTGCTGGCGGGGCAGCACGCGCACCATGAAAATCCCGTGCACGACTTGGGCACCCCTCTTAGAAATGCGATACTTAGGGCGTATGCAGACCCGATTCGTTGCTAACACTTCCAACAAGGACGCTTTGATGTGTTGAGGCACGAATTCAACTGAATTGCGTTTGGTCACGGGATAGGATGCCGCGGCACACGATAGACAAAAGTGAGTTTTTGTGGTACTTTTTTTTCGCGCTGTAGGGTCCCGCAAGTCCGTTGCGCCGCCGTGACGTCACTACTCAATTACGCATTGCTGCGGCGGCAACGGTGTTGTTGGCACGTGTACAGTACCCAGCGAAAGGTAATCACACTCACCCCAAAGGAACAGGGAAAGCTAAATCAACAGATCTTGTCTCCAGAGTTGAGCATGTGATGCTGCTTCTTGGATGTCACCACCTTGGTGCTCGACCAAGGGCAGCAAACAGCGACTAACCCCCTCACTCTCCTGCTTTGCTGTGTGCCGGTAGACAACAAACACGCCTCAGAAAAGCAAAATTAAATGCATTCATATGTGAGAAGTGCACTGCTAAATACCTGTTGTATGCCTGTGTGAGGCCGAGTTGATTGTTGTACGTCATGCGCATGGCGATTACACCACGTGGCAGCTGCCCACAACGCCCAGCAGCCGCACGCTCTCCTGCGTGCTCCGTCAGCGCTCCATCCAAACATATGCTCATCTTTGCTGGCAGCTGGCTTTCCAGAGTCGGTGCTGAGCAGCATTCCAGCAGGTTGCGATAGGTGGGTCCCCTGGAGCCCTCGTCCCGCCCCCCCCTCCCAGCGAAGTTGCGTTGGGAGTGGTTACAGCTGACGAAGCACAGGGTGGGGGCAAGCTCTCAGCTGCGACTGCGGCAAAGCAACTCACAGGGATCGTCACACAAGGATGCAAGGTGCGGGATGGCAGGCCACATGAAGTTGAAGTTGACCGTGACAGGCAAACAGTGCAGGCGTAGGGCCACACGTCACTGCAAGGCGTCGTCACAAGGTGCTTTAGGCAAAGAGCAAGCGTGCATGGGGTGCAGCAATGTGTGAATGCGCCAAGTGGCGGAACGGCAAGTGCCGTCGTGATTGCTTGGAAAAAGTAGTGATTTGCAATGCTTGAGCGTGTGCCACACTGCTCTGCAGTCACCACAAACACAAAATTGCATTGACCAGCGCGCCACCTGCACTTGCCACTAAACTTTCATACCTGTTGAAGTTGCAACCGCGCTTCCACTGGTGCGGTCCCTGGTCCCCAAAATTTTGTTGCGAGCTGGGATAGGGTCTCTGCCGCAGTCGCCACAGCCGCAGCTCCTGCCAGGCAGGGTGCCCCTCAAAACCAAGTGGCCATGGCACCAGGGTGTGGCTGGCGTTTCCAGTAATCAAGGCGCACCCGGCGATAAAAAGTGAGAGGCCCACGCAATGGAAGGGCTCTGATCAGTCCCCAGCAAGCGGCAAAAGTGCCCAGCGCTCGCAGTAGTCGACAGGTTTGGCGCCCTCCAGATTTGGTTGGATTCTGAGTCAGCGTTCCTGCCACATCAGCACTTGAGAGTGGACTTGGCGCCGTAAGTGCCCACGTCGGCCTTGGTGATGCCCAGGCCTGCGTAAGCCTTCTCGAGCGCGGCCACAACCTGGGTGTTGGCGCCCGCCACCACGGGGTTGCCTGCGGTCCGCCGCAGCATCAAATTGGGCGGGATGTAGGGGGCAGGCGGATGGGTCGACAAGAAAGTCGCTCCGGCAGTCGTATTGGGAAACCACAGGTTGCTTGTGAATGCAAAGAGCCCTGGTCACCCAGCAGGGCAGGTGCACACACATGGCGGGCACGCACTCCACTACCGGCCACAGCGTTCCAGCCGGCTGCCTCTCAGCTGCCCTTGCAGCTGCCTGGCGGCTTCCTGGGGCCTTACTCACCCGGGTAGAGCAGCTTCTTGATGGTCTCGGCGCTGGAGGCGCTGGCCTGGGCCACCAGCGGCTCGATGGAGCGGAAGAACGCGTAGCCCTCAGCCTGGGGTTTGG